ATTCCAAAAGCATTAAAACCACAAAAACCTAGCATACTAGAAGGAATTCAAAGAGAATATGCTAAGCAGCTCACCAAAACTGTAAGTCATCTAGGAATGAGTGAAAAGCTAGATTTATATCTGAAACATTAGACTTTTGCAGAAAAAAGTTATAGACACAAGTTTCCTGCTCTGAAGTCAGGCTGAAGAAAACTTGCTCCTAATTTCATGTAGTAATAACGAAAACTTAATGCACTGCACAAGATGTACAATTTTAAAGCAATATATATCTAATTTTACATTGAAAATCATGCTTAACTTCCATCAAATCTAATTGAATACTATAAGTTTGTGTGACTGCACACTTTGAAATCATCTGACAAATGTTTTATGTAATAACAAATGAATATATATTATGAATAAAGGTGTTTAATTCATCTGAAATCAAACTTCATGTGGGAGGTTGTTCTGACTGCTGATTTATGAACTTATGAACAACAATTTCCATCAAAACACATTTGGTAAGCAGCATGTGAACACAAATTCTGATGTAAAAAAAACCACTATAAATTTCATGTGAGCAGGTGCATGTTTATTCATAAAATTATATTTTCAACACCATTCAGAAAAATAAATGCTTCATTCTCAAAGTTGTGAAAACCTATTTCTATGGCTCTTATATTTTTAAGAAAATGAGAATAAATTCCCAAAAGATTATTTTACAAAATATGAAACTTGGATCAAAGGATCTTATCCTAACTTCTAGGGACAAAAAAACTCTCCATTCATTATTCTAACAATCTTTCATGTTGAAAAAGACTTTTGCCTTTTCATTTTAATCTTTTTTGAATGTTTCTTTAATCAAAAGGATTGAAATAAACTAATAAGGAAATAATATTGTAACTGATTCAAAACAAAGAAAGAATCAATATAAAATCTTATTATGCCTGCCAAATCATTTAAGAAATCACTGAATTCTGCCAAACTATTCTAGTTCAATACACACCGAGCAACATAATTGGTAAAAATCTTCAATAAATCTTTCATCAAATTAATCACCATTATGTAATATTGCAATTTCATGTACTTGGCAAGGCAACATTAAAACTTGTGATGTTTCCAACTTGAAAAAAAAAAAAATAAATGTTTTTGCATTCATTGATTTAGAAAAATTTGCAATTGTACTACTGGACAATGCTGAGGGTCAAGAATAACTTGGAATTGGGTTATTAAAGTTACAATATCAGAAGGAATCAGATGCAACTTTAGAATAAAAAACAACACTTTATCACTCTAATCATATTCTATGAGTATTATATCAAATATATGATACATGTAATGCCATACTGACCAGCTTGACCAACATAAGGGTCAACATATTATAAACAGATAAACATCTCTGGTAAAACCCATTGTGTGCTCTAGCATTCATTGAAAGAAAAGTGATAGAAATTAAGAGTGATTGGGAATTGCTACATTCCTTCATTTTCCATTAAAAGATTTGTATGTCTTATTTTTTTTCCTATAAAAAAAAGTACATGTGTAATATTTTTTAATGCAAATGACACTGACAATTTAATTTCATCTTTTTCTTCAATCAGTAAATTACTTTTTGCCGTCCTTTTTAACATGTGAAAAACAACAAGCATTCTGTGAGTATTGCCTGGCAATACATAGTCCCCTACTGGTTAAAAATAAATTGTACTGGAACAAAATGCTAACTTGATCTATAACTTATCATGGTCTAAACTATATAACAAATATCAAGTCAATACCTTCAAGCATTTTGGAAAATTGATTATTTGGGTGAATTTTCTAAGTCCTAGGACCATAACTCTGCACAAAATCATCAGAACTAAACAAAATTCGAACTTGATCAGTAACTTGTCATGATAATATATATACTAATTATCAAATCAATATCTTTAAGCATGACAAAAAAAAGTAAGGTCAAGGACCATAACTCTGCACAAAATTGTCTGACCAGAAACAAAATTCGAACTTGATCTAATACACCAAATATCAAATCAATATCTTCAAGCACTAAGAAAAAAAGTGTGGAAGAAAGACAAACAGACAGACAGACGGACGGAGTGCAACCTAATGAATGAATATATATGGGGTACCTATCAATGAGACAGTAATCCAGAAACTCAATAAAACCAAAAAAAACCAACATGCAGATCATTAGGAGGATGTAACAGGTACTTTTACCTTCTAAGCTATTGATAAGTACCACCTGAATTCTAGAATTTTTATATACAGTATTCATGAAATATATTGAAAAGTAACACCTAAAAATGCAAAAAGTACCAGTCATCATGAAGGATAATGAAACCCCCTACAGATGGCAACATACAGTCTTTACCAATTGACAAGTGCCCTGTCATATGTCAAGCTCTAAAATCATCTCAAGTCCAGAAATAATGTGAACAAGAGGCTGTCAGAGCAACAGCAAACCGGATTTTTTAACATTTATTTGTGTCCTGGCATTTTTGAATATCACAAGGACCATAACTCCTGAACAGTCAAAGTGACAATCATCAATATTGAACTTGACCTCCATTTTGTCATCATTAACAACATATTAAAATTTGAACAGATTGGTTGAACGGTTCATGAGTTAAAGCAGGTACACGACTGGAAAGACCATTTTTCAATCTTTCAAGAACCATAACTCCTGAACGGTAAAAGTGAAAATCATCAATATTGAACTTGACCTCCATTTTGTCATCAGTAACAACATATTAAAATTTGAAAAGCTTTGGTTGAAAGGTTCATGAGTTAAAGCATGGACACGACTGGAATGACCATTTTTGAATCTTTCAAGAACCATAACTCCTGAACGGTAAAAGTGAAAATTGTCAATATTAAACTTGACCTCCATTTTGTCATCAGTAACAACATATTAAAATTTGAAAAGCTTTGGTTGAACGGTTCATGAGTTAAAGCATGGACACGACTGGAAAGACCATTTTTCAATCTCTCAAGAACCATAACTCCTGAACGGTAAAAGTGAAAATTGTCAATATTGAACTTGACCTCCATTTTGTCATCAGTAACAACATATTAAAATTTGAAAAGCTTTGGTTGAACGGTTCATGAGTTAAAGCATGGACACGACTGGAAAGACCATTTTTCAATCTTTCAAGAACCATAACTCCTGAAAGGTGAAAGTGAAAATCGTCAATATTGAACTTGACCTCCATTTTGTCATCAGTAACAACATATTAAAACTTGAAAAGCTTTGGTTGAACGGTTCATGAGTAAATGCACGGACACTGTTTGGCAGCCGCCCGCCCGCCATACATCCCCAAATCAATAACCGTTTTTTCCTTCGGAAATCCGGTTATAAATGTAACAGATTACCTCAGATTTGTCTTCAACTGCAAGTTGTTTGATTAATGACAAAAACAACAATAATGTATATAAATTAAATGGAGAATGTGTCCATGGGAAACAGATGATGCCTCCACTTGCATGTAACGTTATAAAGGGACAGAACTTAAGAACGGTAAAAGTGACACTACTCAAATTTGAACTTGATCCAATTGATCCAATAAGCATTGTGTATAAGTTTCATTAAAAATCATCTTGTCCCAGATTATCTCCGTAATTTTCATCCATTATTCCATCATAACACTGAAAACTATAACTTAAGACGACATGCCAACTTGATACCTATCAGGTCAAGAACAGTAGCATACTATAATTCTTTTCTTCTAGCTACGATTAGAGACTGGAATAGCTTGTCAGCTGAACTAATTTCAGCAACATCTTTGGCAAGTTTCAAAAGGTTGTTAAAGAAGAATCTCAATTTGTGTAGTAAAAAAATATATTCACGATGGCATGGTTATGAGAAAAAGATTCATACTAGATTACGCTTAGGGCTTAGTGCCCTTAATGACCACTTGTACAAATATAATCTTACATTAAATAGGTTTTGCGATTTCTGCCCAGGTAACCGTATAGAAAGCACTGAGCACTATTTAATTCATTGCGCCCGTTACATGAACTATCGGATTACTCTTCTACTTGGTATTAAGAATTTTATTTGTCCAGATATAAATACAGCAATGTTGCGGGATCTATGTCCGAACTATCTTAGTAAAATTTTAATAGAAGGTAGTGACGATTTGTCTGATGATACTAATTTAGATCTGTTTGAGTGTGTGTTTCGATATATTAAATCTTCAAATAGATTTTCTCGAATGCTCAGTAATTTATTTGTATACTATCTTTTTAACTTGTAATAAAACATATTAGTTGTGAAACACGTACATACACTTATATTATCCTATTTTTATTTATTATTCATTTTTTCTTTTTTCTTTTTTTCATTTGACCTGATTGTACTCAAAATTGTCTTTCCATAATTATTATTCTATATTACTGAATCCAACATGTTTTTATGTGAGTAAGAATGAGTGAGTGATTGGAAAGGTGTGTAGTCTAATTTCATTTGTATGTCTTGTCCTGTACATATTTGTCTTGTCTTGTGTTAAACATGTTTGTAAATTAAAAAAAAAAATCTTTGTTAATTGTGAATCTGTATATATCTATGTTCAGGAGACCGACACGTAGCCTCTGGCTGTTGGCAATCCTCTTTAAATAAATAAAGAATTAAAATTAAATATAAGTTTCATAACAATTGGTAGAGGCAAACTTTAAGTTAGAGAATGGAAAGAAAAATTCAGCAATTTTTCCATTTGTAATGAGACATAACTCTAGAACAGTAACAGTGACACCACCCAAATTCAAACTTGATCTGTGTTTTGGGGTAATAAGCATTGTGTATAAGCTTCATAACATTTGGTTGACACAAACTAAAATTAGAGAACAGAAACGAATTTTGAGACGTAGGTATGAACAGACGTACAAACGGACAAAGGTTACACTTTAAAAGCCCCCTCCACTGACAATACCTGACTTGGGACAGCCATAATTATATATATATATATACACATGTAACATGTGGTGGAGTTACAACACTCAGTTTAATCACTTTGTTAATAAATTACCTTGGCCTGGAAATGAATTCCATGTTGGAAAGCTTCATCGTTGTGTAACGGAATTCTGGTGTCATAACCATCCTCAGACACCAAATCATAAGGTTTCTTTGACAACATCTTCATCTTATTTGTCAGCTTCTTGTATTAGAGAATTGCCATTTTGTGTTCAGTCTTTTCTTTACAGCCTTTTAACATCGTTTCAACTTTAATTAGTGACTTTGTTTCAGACTTATTGTTCATTGCAGGTTTTTTATTCTGCTTCCTGGAATAGAGTAATTAAATTCAGATGAAGTACATATTCTACAATTGATTTTCGTGACAATTTTATGTCTACATTAATCTTACAGCTTTTTTTAAAATGACATACTGTTACTGTACAGAGGTGTGAAATTAAAGTAAAATTTATTTAGGTTTTAACTTAATATGTATTGATTATTTACCAAGATGTTGTTAAAAGAAATTGGATACCCTGCATTTATCATACTTTTCAATAACATATGGTCAAATCGCGGAGACCCCCTCCTAAATATGGAAAACTATCATTCTGCATTGACAATAATATCTTGGTGTAAATAAGATTCACCCATGAGGGCTATGTATCCAATACATAAAGTACATACTTTCTAAGTACATTTGTAACACTTCCTACTGGACTAAGAGGTACTCAATAAGAGTAATGATGTAGGAAGATTTCTGAACAATAGTAGGATAATGAACAACAGCACTCATAAAAATGATCCAACTTCATATTTTCCTCCACATATTTCCTGAAAATTGATCTTATTATTTGAAAAGTGTTTTGTAAATTTCCTATGAATGTATAATACTTCAGTTCTTACATTTTCAATTTTAAGAATTCAAGCTACCGTTTTAATCTAAAAAAATAAATAAAAAACATAAAAAATACCCATAAAAATCTTTTTTTCTCTAAAATACATCTATTGTTAAGTATCTTACTGTTTCGAGTAAATTGATAAATCATGTCTTTACATCTATCCCTCCAAACATTTATTAATCATCTGGTGTGTTCAATAATTACAACTATTATGTTTAAGAATTAATAGTGCTTGCTACTGCTACAAAACAAGTTATGATATAATTTTACACTAAAGATGAATGTAAACTGAAATACTTTATAATTGTACTACCACTTAATGCAATTAGTTATAAACAAAGTCAGTAATTAAACAATAACTTATCATTTCATAAGTAATTTTAGTTTCGAAGGGCATTTAGTGCTAAAATCGAACAAAGACGTTTTAGCATCAGTCCCACACACAAGACATATAAAAGTGAAAATATCATACAAGATACTGTTACATTGAAATATTATAAAACAATCAAGTTAGGTGCATAATCTTAAACAATGAGGAGTCATTCCACAAAGTACAATATATATATACAGAAGGCTGATTTTTATCATCTATAGTTAAGAGGAGTGGATGAGGCGTCTGTGCAATGCTAGTCAGTGTTTCCGTAAAAGTGAGGGGGATGAGTCATCTGTACAATGCTAGTCAGTGTTTCCGTAGAAGTGAGGGGGATGAGGCGTCTGTGCAATGCTAGTCAGTGTTGCCGTAGAAGTGAGGGGGATGAAGCATCTGTGCAATGCTAGTCGGTGTTGCCGTAGAAGTGAGGGGGATGAGGTGTCTGTGCAATGCTAGTCGGTGTTGCCGTAGAAGTGAGGGGGATGAAGCATCTGTGCAATGCTAGTCGGTGTTGCCGTAGAAGTGAGGGGGATGAAGCGTCTGTGCAATGCTAGTCGGTGTTGCCGTAGAAGTGAGGGGATGAGGCGTCTGTGCAATGCTAGTCGGTGTTGCCGTAGAAGTGAGGGGGATGAGGCGTCTGTGCAATGCTAGTCGGTGTTGCCGTAGAAGTGAGGGGGATGAAGCATCTGTGCAATGCTAGTCGGTGTTGCCGTAGAAGTGAGGGGGATGAGGCGTCTGTGCAATGCTAGTCGGTGTTGCCGTAGAAGTGAGGGGGATGAAGCGTCTGTGTTGCCGTGGAAATGAGGGGATGAAGCGTCTGTGCAATGCTAGTCGGTGTTGCCGTAGAAGTGAGGGGGATGTAGCATCTGCGCAATGCTAGTCGGTGTTGCCGTAGAAGTGAGAAGTAAAAAAAGTAAAGGTTCCAATCCCAGTCAGGGAGGAAGTAAAGAATCAGATCTAATCTAATATTGTTAGGTTGATTTTTTAGGCACTTTATATTCATATATATATGAAATATAAAGCAAAGTTGACAATGTTCAACTACCTCTCTTTCTGTAAATAGTTCTTAAAAATAATAAAACCTTATAATATGCAGATTATTAGCATAATGTACATATTTTCTGGCATTTTGGAAAAATACATAACAAGAATGTGTCCATAGTACACGGATGCCCCACTCGCACTATCATTTTCTATGTTCAGTGGACTGTGAAATTGGTATCAAAACTCTAATTTGACATTAAAATTAGAAAGATCATATCATAGGGAACATGTGTATTAAGTTTCAAGTTGATTTGGACTTCAACTTCATCAAAAACTACCTTGACCAAAAACTTTAACCTGAAGCGGGACAGTCAGACGGTCGAACAGACGAACAGACACACAGACCGAAAAACATAATGCCCCTCTACTGTCGTAGGTGGGGCATAAAAACAAGCTGAAGTGTGAGTGATAATGATACCTTCCATATAAGTATTTAGCAAACAGGAAATAGATAGTGATGTATTGAAAGCACATTATACAGCACAGCAGGCTCACATAAAGCTTGAAATCAAATTTCAGGAAGCTCTTATATGAAGATCCTGATAAAAATTCTACCAAAATTTGTGGATGGAAAGACAAGCCAAAACCAGAATACCCCCTCCTTTGGAGCAGGGGTAAAATAAACTTTCCACAATGAAAACAGCAAAAGTTGAGTTGGCAAATAGAACACCAGAATATAAATGTCCTAGCAGTTTTCAAAATAAAAATAAAAACTACCATAAAGGTAAACACTTTAGCAAACATAAATCTGTTTCTCATCCTAACCACTTCTTCATATTCAGCCTAATCAGAAAACAAAACATCTCAGCAATGCAAAATCAATGTGTCCATGGTACACAGATGCCCAAGTTTGTAAATATGCAAGAGTCAATTAATTATGTATTAATATGCACAGAGAAATCTGTTTGCAGCAAAAATGCGTCTTTTTGCCCCTCAACTCATTTACACCAATGCAACATTTGCACCAAAGGTTTTTAAAATACCTGGTATCATTTGCACCAAAAATAAAACTATTTACAGTCAACATAATTATATATTAAGGCTGAAATTTGTAACTAATTAAAACTCAAACAAAATCTCTGCAATTGAGTTTCCTCATGTATAATTTTGGTATTTTTCAAAAGCAAATATTTCTCAGTCTTTGGTTTTCTATATTATGTTTTGAATACTGTTGTTTGTCTGTTTGTCTTTTTCTTTTTCAGCCATGGCGTTGTCTGTTTGTCTTTTTCTTTTTCAGCCATGGCGTTGTCTGTTTATTTGTGACTTATGAATGTCCCTTTGGTATCATTGGCCTCTCTTTTCCTTTTCTGATAACAAACAATAGTGGGGGATGTTATCTGTTTGAGTTTTGTACTTGCATTTCGACACAAATTCGAACTTGATCTGTGTAGGCATTGTGCATAAATTTCATAACATTTGGTAGAGGCAAAGGAAAGTTAGAATGTGGAAACAGCAAATTCGCCAATTACTATAGTTTCCACAAAAAATAGGAAAAATTATCATTGAAGGGCAGTAATGTCTGTAGACAGACTACTTTGGCCATATGACTTATTTTTAACCTTGTTGATCTTTTTTGTCATTTACAGTTTCATTTTATTTATTATAGTTTAAAGTGCTATGAACCAGCAAGAATTGCAAAAATCTATTTTTATATCAAATTGGCTTTCGAATGTCTAAAAATTGACAATTTTGCACAGATAACTTTTGCACCAAAGCTCCTGTATCCAATAAAAACTAAAACTATTTGATTTTTACTTTAGTCAAATGACAAAAAATAATCTGTACAATAAATATATCATGATCAAACAAAACAGCTGGAAAAATCAAGTATGAAACAATGAAAAAATTTCTGTTGCAGTATATATAGAGCAAAAAGTATAATTGATGATGATGTATCAAAAGATAAGAATGTAATGGAATTTTCTGTGAAATGGAATTATTCATTTATTTCCTGTGAAATTAAGATAAGATTTATTGGTAGAGAAATTCTATCAAACATTAATAGAATACATTTCTTAACAACATTATGACATATTAGATTGCATTTACATTTTATTTCTCTTGTTTCTTTTTGTCTGACTTTGCTCATTTGCATTATAAGAATTCAGTCTCATATATTTGTCAAATTTAAAATAAGAAATCTATTCCATTGTAGACTGAAATACCATATTCTCCTTTTCAGATTAACAACTACATTTGAATATTTTGTATAGAAAAAAAATCAAAAGAAATGTTAAACATGTACATCCCTGTTCTGTGTTTTGATTACATTTCATCTTGTTATTTTATTTTTCAAAACATTGTTGTATCTTGACATTATGAAACAACAAACTGTTGACACAGAGATATGTCTCGGCTGTTGGCATAAAATTCAGAAAAGACCATCTGATGGACAGCAACATTGTCCATGATCTAGTGGGCAGGGCCTGAAAATGGTCAACAAACTGAGATGTACAGACAGTAATGTAACTTTATACAAAATATCATTGATCTATCACAAGTAGCTCTAATCAAACTGACTTAAGCAGAAAACTTAATAAAATTGCTTATCAAGTGAAAGTTGGTGGACCATGACCTAAGGGGCAGGGTCTCAAAATAGTAGTCAAACTGATATGCAACTTCATACATCATATCATTGATCTATCACAAGAAGATCCTATCAAACTTACTTAACATTGAAAATTGCTAATCAATTCAAAGTTACTGGACCATGTCCTAGGGGGCAGGGCCTCAAAATAGTCGTTAAAATGATATGTACCGATAGTAATACAACTTTATATTAAATATCAATTATCTATCACATGTAGTTCCTATCAAACTAACTTAAGCAGAAAACTTAACAATTGTTGACGCCGTCATCGTGGTCACCAGAAAAGCAATCCCTATGTCTTGCTTTCACATTTTACATTGGCATTTCAAAAGGTCTGAGTAGACATTTTAAAGCAGTTTTTGTAGCTATGGAAACGTCACTGAAATGTTTCTTAAGTTAGAAACAAAAGATTTTGATGCAATTTTTAAACATCCCTTAAAAAAAAAGTTTGTCATATGCAATCTGTAAAATTAGTATGACCATTTCCATTTTCTACACTTATTCTGTTTTAAATTCATGCAAATATCAACTAAAATTTGCATTATTTAATTGTTTTAATCTAAGCTTATTTTTAAAACCCTATTTGTTTTATTTCATTTCTTGATACATATCTATTTTATCAATTTGAAACTGTACAATTCTTTGAACATCTTGGAATATTTGAAGTTTTCATATATAGTAGTAGTACATCTTTTTGTCGAATTTGTTTTTGATAAACTGACATTAAAACAAGAGAGCCTGAATCCCTCACCTGTAATGTTTTGCTTAAATCTTTCATGAACAATTATTTTTGCTTTTCAATATATATTAATGAGTGGCTTAAAAGTGCCATTTAAATGATCTTTGTATCTGTCATATTTTCTTCTAAAGCAAAAAAATGCATTTTACCCCTATGTTCCATTTTAGCCATAGTGGCTATGTTTCTTGACGTACAAGGAAATAAAATACATTATTTATACTAGATACTCTGAAACTCAGTCAGCCCAAGTTTGGCTGAAATTGATTCAGCAGTTTCAAAGGAGCAGATTTTTTTAAGTAAGCAAACTAGATGAACAAATTGTGAAAAATTGTCTTTAAAGGGCAATAACACCTTAAGGGGTCAATTGACAATTTTGGTCATATAAACTTATTTGTAGATCTTACTTTGCTGAACATTTTTGCTGTTTACAGTTTATCTTTATCTATAATAATATTCACGATCATAACCAAAAACTGCAAAATTTCCATAAATCATCAATTCAGGGGCAATAACCTAAAAATCAGATCTGGCTGATAAATTCAGGGCAGGTAGACCTTGATCTAATGAATACTTTTACCACATCTTCTTATATCTATTTAACTTCTAGTCTGATTTGCTCTAAATGCTTTAGTTTTTGATTGATTGATTGATTGTTGGTTGCTTAACGTACAGTGTCAAATATTTCATGCATATTGAGGACAAGCTTTAGTTTTTGAGATATAAGTCAAAAACTGCATTTTACCCTATGTTCTATTTTTAGCCATGGCAGCCATGTTTACTGAGGAAACAGAAAATAAAACATAAACTTTATTCTAGATAACCTAAGAGTCATTCAGTCTAAGTTTGTTTTAATTTGGTTCAGTAGTTTCAGAGGAGAAGATGTTTGAAATAGTTTACACCAGACGGATGACAACGGATGATGACGGACGCCAAGTGAAGGCAAAAGCTCACATTTCCTTTGGAAAAGTGAGCTAAAAACTGCAAATTTCCTTAAAATTATCAATTTAGTGGCAGCAACCCAATAATGGGTTGTTAGATTCATCTGAAAATTTCAGGGCTGATAGAACTTGACCAAATAAACATTTTTACCCCCATGTCAGATTTGCTCTAAATGCTTTAGTTTTTGAGATATAAGTCAAAAACTGCATTTTACCCCTATGTTCTATTTTTAGCCATGGCGGCCATATTTTTTGAGGAAACAGAAAATAAAACACAAACTTTATTCTAGATACCCTTATGTTCATTCAGCTTAAGTTTGGTTGGAATTGGTTAGGTAGTTTCAGAGAAAATGTTTGAAATAGTTTACACCGGACGGAAGACGACGACAGACGAGGGACACCAAGTGTTGGCAAAAGCTAACATTTCCTTTGGAAAGGTGAGCTAATAAGAGTTTTAAATGATTTACAATGAAATGAATGAAGGAGAGGTAATTCTTTCTTTGATAATATAGATAAAGTGATAAATTTAACATTTTTACATCAATTTACATTATGCTGTTAGTTTAAATTATCCGAAAATAAATGTTAAAAAGCACTCAAGGTCATTTCTTACAAATATTATTTTACAGTAGTTCAAATAATCTGCATTATACCATACTGATACAAGTCTATTAATGTTGTTTTTCTGTTTATTTTGTGTGGTTGGGTTGCTGTCTCATTTTCTCAAATTAATATGATTTAGTTGGTGGATATGGAAAAATTAATAACATAAAAATTTGCCACTATTTTGAAAAATTTAACTCCAATGTTTCAAACTCAAAACAATGTGAATCACGGTTACAATGTATAACAATAATTTAAAAACAAGGGAATAAATTAACCAAGACATGTAATAAACTGCATATTATTTGCATTGTGTAAATAAACTACACATGTCAGTGATCATAATACTGTCAAAAACAATAAGAATTACTCAGTATTTGCAATTTGCAGTAAAACTTTGTGTACCTGCCAAAATTAATGCAATTCTCACTAATTAGTGTAACATATGCAACAGTACACTTAAAAACACACAAAATTACACCATTAAAAAGTGGTTTACCAGTACATCTGTTCAGGTGGGTGCTTGCCAAGTCACACGTTTTCACATCTAATTTGTTTTTTCCTGCATCATCACGCTGAATCTTGTTTGTGGTAAAGTCAAATGTTATCTAAAAAAAACGAAAAATAACATAATCAGGATTTCAACTGAATGAACTTCACTAAATGGCAAAACCTCTAATCTATTTTCATCTCATGACATTTTCTTAACATTTGCAAAACTTTTTTTCTGTGTTAAGACTCTGAAGACTTAAATCTTTCTACACATTTGGTTCAAACACTGTTGTCAAAATATGTCATATTCCCATGCACATCAAAGAAATTTATATTAACAAAAGTAAAGACAAATTAATTACAAGCAAATAAAGAAAACTTACTGTCAATGAAAATATTCCATTTGTTTACCTATCAAACACAGCTGACTTTAGTAGCAGCTAGATACTTTGAAATATATTACAAAAATTAATGATTATATTCCAATTCTTTTGTATATGAAAACTTTGATGTGGTAAATCGCAATATCACATCAAACACGAAATTTACATGACTGCAGGAGAGATGCATTTGATATGCATTATCACTCTCTCATACAACTTTGAGTAAAAAGGCTGTGGAAAAGAGTTTATGATCCATATCATCAACTGACTGAAAATCAAAGTCACAACCTGAAGTCAATTGAGAAACAAGTGTGGATTACAAAAAACTGTAAAACTGCCAATACTGATCTGTACTGGAGTAATCAAAGATCTTATGAAAACAGAAATCCTACAATACTATACTGCTTGCATTCAATTATTGACTTTGTTAACAAGATTCCATTTGCCAATCAAATTCTGTCATGGAATGTTGGTACTGGTCATTTTATTGTTTTTTGTTTTGTTTATTCTGTAATAAGCGTGAAAAGAAATAAAACAATATTCTAATCCCTCTGGTTTAAATGTAAGTTTTCATTACCTTTGCCTCAAATACACTATATTCTATTATATTTGGAAATACAAAAGAAAAACCTATAAATAATGAAGGCAATATGTTTAGAAATTTCTGTTATCATTCTACCAATAATTTTGTTTCTTTTATGAGAAATGTGTCAAAATATGGCTGATTTATTTCATCAAATTTTATAAGGGTAAACTTACTGTCAACAAAAAAAGGAACAGACAGTAAAATAAACTTTCAAACCTTACATGAACAAGAATGTGTCCATAGTACACGGATTCCCCACTCGCACTATCATTTTCTATGTTCAGTGGACCGTGAAATTGGGGTCAAAACTCTAATTTGGCATTAAAATTAGAAAGATCATATCATAGGGAACATGCGTACTTAAAGTTTTAAGTTGATTGGAATTCAACTTCATCAAAAACTACCTTGACCAACAACTTTAACCTGAAGTGGGAAAGACGGACGAACGGACGTACAAACATAGGTGGGGCATAAAAATAAATATTTTTTAATGAAAATAACTAATAAAATTTTATAAGAGAAAATTTAACGTCAACAAAAAAAGGAACAGGCAGTGAAATAAACTTTCAAACCTATCAAGAAAAATAAATATTTTTTAATGAAAATAACTATTCTACTGTATAAAAAAAGAAACTGATCTTAGTCCCAAGTCCTCCGTTTGCTGCAGAAGGTTGATGGTTTCTGTCCGGCTCTCCGGCTTCCTCAACCAGTAAAAACTGACATGAAATAGCACAATAGTACTGAAAGTGATGTTAAACTTCAGTCAATCAATCCATGTGGATTTGACACTAAAGGGTTTCAACTAAAGTTGTTTTGTGGGTCTGCACTCACAAAATTATTTTTCAAGCAATTTCAAGAAATGTCCTTGACCTTAGTGTATATGGGCTCCCTACCAATTTTATTGTTAATATTAATATTCTTAAATTCAGAATGATAAAGTTTGAATTAGTCCTGAGAATTTCAAGGAATTCAAAACAAAGTTTTTTTTCTAAATAAGTAATTACAGATTACAGACATGATTTCCCATTTTAAATTGTGATTCCAGATTCAAACTTTAACATTTCTCTGTCTCCTCAACTGCCTTAATATAATTTTGAATTGTTTTTTTAAATTATTGTAGTTATTAAACCATTGGCTGAAATGCCTATAAAAATGGTTTAATTACTGCAATAATGTAAAATGTGTTCCCTATTGGAATTTCTATACAGGAAATTATTTTATTTTCAGTTTAGAAATCCTATAGTTCTTATATGCATGAAAATTACTCTTTGATGTTTATCTAATTTATTTTTCTTTTCAATCAAATGGGTAAACAGTAAGCTGTTCTGTGAATAAATCATCAACGTTGTTAATGAGAATTGCTTCTCCTTGATGACAATTTGTTCATTAATTAAAGTATTTTTTTCACATAGCAGTAATGACAGATTCCAAGATAAAAGCAACTGTTGCACAAGACCATATGACAGTCATGTGACAGTCATGTAATAACCAATTGTTGAAATCTACTGCATATTTGTGCATTTTATTAGTTTTCACAGTTGTATATGGGGGTATGAGTCAGCAGCAGAGAAATAATTGCTTCATACAGCTGACAATGGTCAAAATCACAATCAAAAATGGTAATTCTGCTATCCCTTGATTAGATCTGGTGTAAAACCACATTCATCTTGTAAAATAAATGAGAAGATTAAAGAAATTGGTGATTTCAGGTTTATGGTCTCTTGGCCACAATTCTCCATGGAAAATTAATAGCTTTAATTTTGTGAATAAAATGGTGAAAGATACCATCTCACAATAGAAAATCTCTACAGATATCCATATTAGATGAATTACATTGAATGAGCTCATCTTTCTTCAACATCCACAGGAAAAAACAACACATATCAAAGCATCTTTGCCTTCTTTTTGTACAGAGCACTTATGCAGAAAATCTCTGTTGTAGCAAAAACATATCACATTAAAAAAAATTGTTTAGCAACTACATGACTAATTACATTTTTAAAATTAAGAAGCTCTTGGTCTTAGAACTAATTCTCTGTGGACAGGCTGATTCCTATAATCAATCAACCTTGCTAATTATTGAACCTGACACCCTTCAAACAATATGATAAACTTGCATGAACATCAACTGTGTATTGCTGTACTTAAACCAACAATAAACAATAACCAATGATAGCACTTGTGCAGACATGTCAATCATACAACATAACTCAATTTTTCTGTCAGGAACCTGGGAATTCCTATGAACATAAGATTACTCATTGATAGACAGAATATATTCCATAGGGATGAAATAGTCAGATCCTTTTATAAAAACTGAGAAAATAGAGGCTCTGTTGATCACACATCAAGCACTTAGCAGCCATGTCTTAAATGTTAAAGAATATTCATATTTTCAACAAAACTGCAGACAAAGTCCCATCCTAATGGCAATATTTGATCGTGTTTGCTTACAAAAATGATAAAAGGATCTTGCAGAGAGCCATCAAATCAAATTTGCAATCAACCTGTAAAGAAGTTGAAAACAAAGAGGACACCTATATATATTATACATAGACTACAACTTAAAACCAAGCACATTATCGCCACATTGAAGTTGATCTGAATTCAAGTAACTCAACAATCTTCTTAGCCTATATGTCCTATTCATTCCTAAATTTGTGTATGGGTTATCAAGAGCTCTCATAAGCTACAAAAACAAAGTCCATTTTCTACATTTCTTGTAAGCTACAATGTAAAGACTATCATAAGTCCATTTTCTCCATTTTGAATAGCCTCAACCTTGATTTGGCATACATATTAGAAAAAATCCTAAGTCATTTAGAACATTTTTTGAGTTGATGTGACCACAACTACATGGTTAAGCAGACCACAAAAATGATACTCTTGAAGGAAAAAATGAAGAATGTGTCCATGGGACACAGATTCTTCCGCTTGTAAATATACAATTGTGGTAGTAAGTATTGCATATGTTTCATGACATTTGGTTGAGGCAAACTAAAGTTAGAGAACGGAAACTTATTTTGGGACGTACCTACGGATAGATGGACAGACGTACAGACAGATAAGAGTAAAACATAATGCCCCCTCTGCTGCAGAGGGGCATAAAAAGTTCTGGCTGTACCAATATACAGACGGGTAATAAAGCCAAAAATGCACCTTCAATTTTTTTTTTAACTTTGGCTCATACTTAAACTTGCAGCCTAACAGAACTTGTTCAAGAACCATATATTCATTTTCAACACATTTAGAAGTTACATTTCATCAAGTTTTCATCATATTCAAAAGCCTCTGAGTAACAGCTGTCTGGCATTCTGTCCTTCCATCATACCATCCTTCTGAAATCCAAGAGTTGGTTTTTTTTGTTGATGTCTGTACAAAATGAGTTGAATTTTCGTTCTTTGATACAAAATTACAGATCAAGTCCATAATTCTGTTTTGGACAACCTACTTTCACAGAATTAAGGCCTTTGTACAATGTATATAAAATTTCATGAAAATTGTACTTGTCATGACTTTTTTATTTGTCTGTGAAAAAGTGCTGATATTTAGTTTGTCAATGTATCATGGTATTTTACAGATTACTTCCTGTTTCATTCCTGATGACCTGCTTTTCATAGAATAAAGGCGTCCGTCCTTCCTTCATTCCACAGACAGGAGAATTTGTAATGATATCTAGTTCACTTATAGTGCAAACATGCCAAATAAACATATTTCAAGCAAATTGACCATTTTACTGCATGTTTCAAATTCAATGTTAACAAACCCTGCTGAGAAACTAGATGATAAATGTCTGCTGATGTTGTTTTTCTTGTGCTAAAGCAGCTGTTTTAATCTGGTTTTAATATCAAACTCCACCTTGTTTTATCTCAAGGATTATTTTTATACTCACTGTTGGTCTCTGAAGGGACCTACTCTTCTGTTTATATCATCAAAATTAAAACACATTTATCAAATTTCCTAACATTTGTGAGTCATTTGTTTAATTAATGCAATCTCTCAGCATTTTGCAGTTCATAACCATTTTTTTTCAAAGCCTGGGATTTGTAATTGGACAATGTTATTGGTAGATTTCAATCACTGATAATAAAGTGATTGACTAATGGTGAAAATTTATGTTTCCTTCTGGGATTTTTATCAGATTAATCTACTGAACTTTGTATGCTATTGTAACTACCTATTTTTTTTATAATGCAGCAACAATTTCAGGTTGCAGGTCAATTGCCATTTGACATAATCTACCCTTATCATTGAAATTGTTTTTGTTTTACTCTTATCAATTAGATGGATGATCATAGCCTTGCATAAGAAAATTAAAATCAATCTTGGGTATTACTTACAGGAAACTAATTTTCGGAGTACTTGCGATAGAACATTGGTAAATCTAAAATTTTATTATATCAAAATATACTACATACAGTCTGCCATTATAGAATCAGAGATATTGAGGGTCATTTTATGTTTGTGCAATATGATTAAATTTATTTATTACCCGTAACCAGTTTAGTGCATTATGTATGAAACTGCCCCTTTATTAATAAAAGCAAAACTGGTCAATAACAGACTATCATGGCATTAATACAGGGCTATTAATTATGAATAAACAGGGCCATTATAAATAAAACAAACAGGGCCATTATAAAAAAAACAGGGTCATTATAAAAAAAACAGGGTCATTATGAATAATCAGGGCTATTACGAATTTTCAGTTGATATTAATTTAAATACATTTCTGGGGAAAAGAAACATCAAGAAATTGAAAGTTCCCAAGAATCGTGACTAAATAATTATCTTAT